TTAGTTTTGTTTTAAAGGAATTTCTGATGAAATATGTAAGTACTTATCTGTGGGTACATAAGTTAATAAAATATTGTTTCCACAAAGTTATAGCTGCTGTATTTGCAACATATAATTATTTAATCATTATTAATGGCTGTAATATTTTAAATTTGCCTTATAAGTATATAAAACTGTATTTAGTAACAGGAAAGGCAGTATTTTTTACTGTTCATTTCAATCTTTAACAATAGATATTTTTGAACTATTACAAAAGGAAATATTTAATGTCCCAAGATTGTTGCGTAGTATGAAATTCGAGCAGCAATATTTTGGAAAATAGAAATCTACAAAACTATGCTTAAACGTGGTTTCAGTTTTTGAAATGAAACAATTTAGGAAGTTAATCTTTCTGATAAAAAAATCTAGAAAAAGAACTTGACAGGCCGGACGATGATCAGTAGGTAGCTAGCCTGCTTTACGTTCATAATGTAACATACCGTATTGCCAATGTATTGCAGAGAAAATGACTGTGAAGGAAGGCGAAACGCTTGGAAGTATTAGATACGTCCGGTTACAGTGGCCACCACGTATAGCGACCATAGCGACCGAAATAAACGTCAGGGCCTAGGGTCTAGGGGTCCTGACAGCGAATCCGCCCCCACAGAGCCTAGCTCGAGAACAACAAGGGCAGATCAAAGATCCCTAGGTAAGGCTAAGGAAGTGCAATGTGAGTATGTAACTGACAGCGACCAGGTTCCTAGGTCACTGTATGACAACTTGAAAAATGTGTACTGTAAATATCAGCATTGGCTGAGTTTTAAAAATCTACTATTGCTCCACTGTTAGGCATTTAATAGCAATGACAATTAAGATAGGTATGATATAGGGTTTATAGGCTAAAATATCAATAACATTACCAACACAAATATGATTTGAAATTATGTTAAATAATATAATTCCATTTTCTTAATTAAAACTTAGAAACTTACACTTACCAGAAACTGCTACTTGTATTCACTATTACTACTTTAAATATTGTCAAAATATATTTGGTTGGGAAATTACAATAGAATTAAAATGCCAGAATATATACACAAGGGAAATACGTAAAGAACATACATAAAAAACCCATCATCGTAATTGAAATAAATAGTTAAACAAACATATACACAAGGGTAAACAATAGTATTTAATTTAACACTTTAGGAAATCACTTTAAAAACGATTGATTATACCAATAAAAATATTTTTTGATGCATCTACTTCCTACAATGACAATGTAACTACATATTTTTAATATTTCATGTTGCATAGGTATCTACCAAAATCATATTATATTTTACTTTTTAACTGAATCTTAATAATAATAATAATAATAATTTATTGGTGTCAATGTACAAAAGTACTTACACAGGTCAATTATAATTGGGTATAAATAACAAACCAAGGTATCTACAGATTACAAATATATGACAGAGTACACAGAATCAACTAGAATTTCTATAGATTCACAAACGCATGACATATATACACACACATATATACATACACATACATATATATAGAAACATACGCATATACATACATACACACACACACACATACATTATCATTATTACAAGTAACCTGGAAACGCATGAACATTTATGTCACATTCCAAAAACTCCTTGTGGTGGTAGAATGCCCTTCCCATTAGAAAGTTTTTTAGCTTCTTCCGGAAGGTTTGTGTGTTTTGAATATTCCTAACTTGTAGTGGCAATTTATTAAACATAAGAGTTGCCAAATAGTTTGGTCCATTTTGGCATTTACTCAACCTATAATATGGTGTAATAATATTGTTTTTATTTCTTGTATTATGTTCATGACGGTTCATATATGTTGAGTAACTATATATATTTGATTTAATGTGTGTTAAGCACTCCAAAATATATACTGAAGGCAGTGTTAATATACCATGTTCAATAAATGCATCTCTGCAGTCGTCAGTATATTCTAATTGTGCAATTATTCTAATTAGTCTTCGCTGTATAGCAAACACTCTATCAAAATCTGCAGCATGGCCCCAGACTATTATGGCATATGTCATAACTGAGTGGCATAATAGTATTTATAGTATTTAAAACTACCCGATTTATATCTCGAAAGTTATTGGTGTTGATTTCTTATTTTTATAATTTGGATTAGTAGCAATGTAAAGCGTCTAAAATATTATCATTTAGGATATATTAGCATATATTTACTTTTTCGTAAATAAAAAGTTTTGGTCAAAACATGTTTCATAATAATAAATATCTACATGAATTTATTTTTATAAACAAAAACAGTCTAAAGACGATTGTTTACCATAACTTAGCATTTATTTATTAACATTACCTTTTTTTAACGAAATTTTTGCATTACTCTAATAAATATGTAAATTTTTATACTACGGTTTCGTTTCGTTTGTAAAAAAACAAATACATATTTACATATGTATGCTTAATTCTTTTATTCGCATTCAAATTTCTGGCCAACCCTAGAAAAAATGAATAATAATACAGCCACACAAAAAAATATTTTTCGAGTCTGAAGGTCAGACTATGTCTACTAACTACATGTTTTCGGGCTCGCTGAATCCGAATCCGTGATCCATTTAACTCCATCACGTCAAGTTTTACGGAAAAACCATCACCATCACGTCGAGATTTACGGTAGTCGTTGTGGACTTTTTGTATGGCTGTGTAATTATATCTTTTACAAGAGGACTATTTCATTATTATTAAAAAATAATTTTTTTCAAATTTAATTATATAGGTATTTCAAATATCAATTATATTTACTTAAATATTATCAAAAATGATACAGGTTTCAAGAAATATTTACAATTAGGCACTGAATTATTTCACCGTATTGGAAATGTTTTTTTGCGACCCTTCTAAAAAGTTCAACCTGTATATTTTGTTTGCAACATATTGAGAGTACATGAACTAGCGACAAAAACCACGTATTTTATTTGTTTCTTAGAATTTTCTCAAATGACAATTGACAAGGAAATTCTAGTATAACATTTACTTTAGTCAGTTTTTTTTTTAATTATCTTATCAGTGGGAACAGTTAAAGCTAGTATTTCCACATTTACGTTCCTTAATAACAATTTTTATTCACTTCTTCCCCCTACAAAACAGTCGAAAAACTTATGGTGTGATTTTAATTGTAAGTATTTGGAGTTTGAAATCTTATCTTCCTATATCAGCGCAATATTCTTATTGATTTAGTATTTTAAATGGTAACTTTCCTCATTTTCTTAAAAAGCAAAAAATTATAAATTTTTTGTAATATGAGGATGTATGAGATACGTTACAAAATATCCATCAGAAAAACTGTAAAACCTGTAAAAATACAGTAATAAGTCATGTTACTATTAATACTGAACGAGTACGAAAATGTTGGCTTAAGTGTATTTCTTGTTAAAACAATACTGAAAATTTTATTAAAAATGTGTTTTTTCTATTTTCAGTAGGTATGTTATACGAAACAGTATAAAAAGTATAAAAAAGTAAAAAGTATAAAAATTATACAGAATGAACTTTTAGGACAGCTACAAAAGAAAACGAATTGTCTAGATACGGTCCTAGAATTTTGGATTCTTATTGTTCTCCAGTGGTATATAGTGTATAGAAAAAAATAAATTTATTCTCAATTAAAGTAGTCATTCTATATTCGCCTAGGTTACTCCACTCAGACATTACAGTTTGTAGAGTTCTTCACGTAATACCCTTTTCCATTTACACCAAGAAAAATATTTATTTCACCCAAAATGTTGATTTAATACCTATTTTAGACCTAGAAATATTTAATAAACTAAATTCTAATTATTTACTGATCTCATTCCCATTTATATTCAAATTTTAACCTAGAACTTTTTAAAGTAGTCATTCTATATTCGCCCAGACATTAAAGTTTGTAGTACAGTCTTTCCGATCTCAATTGAAGACCAAAGAGTTAGGCAGTATGCACCAGGTTCGGTGCTACGCAGCAACTCGGCTTTGAAATATTTGAAAAACTTGTTCCCATATTTATTTAGTCATACACATACATATACAGGTCTGGTCGAAGTAAACGTGGAGGGGGTAGAAATGTATACGCCCAGTTGAAGAATGTGCGCGCACAAACACAGTTGCACTGGGCGACTGGCCATAAATTTCAGTTGTTAACTAATTGCTTTGCAGTGCAGCAATACGGAAATATTTTATTGTAGATAATTTTTATTTAATAACTTTTCTAACCTAAACTAACAACCTTTCCGCACCCTTTCCTGGCAAGGATATGCTCATACCTTCCCGTTGATTCTTGCCGATCAGTAATATATTTTAATGAAAATGTAAATGTTTTTTGATATGTCATAACCAAAATTTACCATTAATATAATAAAATTGTTTGAAGACATACATAATTAAAATATGTTGGACAAATGAACATATAATAGAAATTTTCTACGCATTATATACAAATGCGGACTGCTTAATAATAATATGCCGGCTCCTCTCCCGCACAAGTCTCCGACTTCTGGGCTAATTCTCGTGGTTAGAATGAGGAGTAGAGATATTATTAAATTATTATTATTTTTTACCTTTAGCAGAAAACATTTTTAGGGACGCCTATGAAACTCATTAAATTTTATTGCTAGGAGTTTTTATACATGTTCAACTGACTTCGGAAATACCATAACACCCCTTTTCCATTTACACAAAGAAAAATATATTTATTTCACCCAAAATTTTGATTTAATTTATATTTTAGACCTAGAAATATTTAATAAACTAAATTCTAATTATGTATTTACTGATCTCATTATACTCATTATACACATTGCTTATAAATGTCATTACCTAATAGACCCTTAAAAAGATAGCGAATATTCCTAGCTTCGCTAATTGCACGGGACAGAGTTAAACGCAGCTGGAAACGAATGGTAGGGGGCAAACGAAGTACTTATCAATCAGCATGTCGGTACCCTACCACGCCATACCACCAGAAAATCTGCAAGGTGTACCGCTGCTCGAATTCGAAATTATCCGATCTATTCAAAAACGAATCGCGACATGTGACACAACAATTGCATAAAATAACTGGAAATATGTGACTGATCTTTTCAAAATTCTGTAAAAGTAACGCCGACAAAAATGAAGTGCCTCTCTTTTGCGTTTTTGGCAATTATGTACATTGTGTTTACTAACACTAACTGTGATATCAAGTGGGATCATTTTGGAAATGAAAACAGGACTAAAAGTATAAACAGTGTCTTGAGGAATCTAGTCAACAAAACGAATTTAACTGTTGTGCCCTTCCTCCCTAATGTTGCGGAAGAGGATAGTAATTTTCACATCGACATAGAGGACACCTTGCTGAGCAATGAGGAGCGCGGAAAGATTTGTTTAAAAAATGTCACCGAGTGTATGGAGAAAGGTTAGTGGAATTTTATTCATGTCGGATGGAATATACATTGAAAATATCTACGTCTTATGCACTTTTAATATGTAAAACACAGCTGCATATTTTAATTGACTTCATATGTGACACTATGAATTTTGATAATAGAAAAGAAATGACTAAAAAAAATGAGAATATTATGTTTGTATCGTGTCAAAATACAAAAAGTTTATTCTGAATTAATTTAGTAATAAACCAATGAAATTATTTATTTCACATGTTGAGGCATTGAATTTTTTTTATCTGGAAAATAAAAATAAAAATGTTACTTCAATGTTAAATTTTAATTGATTTTTTTGCACATACAGAGAAATAAGAAATGAAATTATTTGACAAAAAATAATTTATTACTTACACATTTGCAATAATTTCTAGTTATAAAATAATTAAATTGTTAAAATACAATTAATAGAAATAAATTTAAAACAATGTTTATTTTGTTCATGCTTCAGAAGTGAAAACGTTGTCACGAAAATAAGTTGAAGAAAATTTTTTGCATTTTTAATTTAAAAAGTAATTGTTATAAAACTTGAATTTATTTTTTTTTTTAAGGAAAATATAATAATGTTTGTTGTTGAACATTTTTTTGCAACAAAATATTCTAATATCTGCTTGGTAATAACGGAAAGTAAGAGAACTAATTACATGATATTTGTAAAAATACTAGTCTTAAAAAGTATATACTTGTGCCAGTAGCCTTGCAAGTCAAACTACTACATTCCCTTTTCATATGCTGGGTAATAATAAAATTAATTTCTTGAAGAAAAGTCAATGTCATTAACATTATTGCATATGCTTCGCTTTTGTTAGTTGCAATATGTTTTCTAATTTAATGGAGTAACTCAACCCATTTTAACTGGTTATATTTGGTAATAAGTTGAAATTTTCTTTCGAAAACTCAAAAAATTAACACGGTTGAATTGTTTTGTGTAACGTCAAACCATATCACCAAAATGCCATGGCGAAAGCAAATTACCAAGTTACAGAAAATGATGTAATTTATTCTGTTTGCAGTTGTAAGTCAAAATTAAACTATTTTAAATTCGTAGGTCGTCATCAACGTTTGGATAGTGGTCTTAAAATTGTAGTACCACTTTTGATATTAAAGTATGATATTTTAACACTAAGTTTTGGTTACTAACTAAAAGTTACAGCAAAAGCAATCTATCAACGGTAATGACAAGAATATCTTTTTTTCATTGAACTTTCATACAACATTTTCAATACAAATAGTACTGAAATTACTATAAAAGATACTTGAAAAAGATCTAATACACTTTTACGTGTAGAATATAAGATCTTAATCTCTTATAAAGCTTATTTCTAAACTGACTGGCATAAAGCTAGACAGGTATTTACTGACGACATTCGATTGTATTGTTCTGATAACTGGACATTATAACTTTAAATTCGTATAAGAATCTATAGCGAAAGTTACCCACTGACTGTTTTAAAACAAAATAAACTAAGGCACATAAATTTCGTAAGGCAACAACTTCGTAAAATTCAAGATATGCGTTATAAAGTAGTTGCCAAACCTTGTTACAAGATGTTTGTTTATAAATAACAATGGAAATACGGTACTGTATGTTAATTTGGCGACGTAAGTCTAATATTAAAACAGCGAATGCAATGATATATTTCTAAAATCAGCTTTTCTGATTTGGACATGTAAGGGTAATGATGTGACCCCGATTTATTTTTAAAATCAGTTTATCAAAATGTGTGTGGAATGTGAAATTATATTTACCAACGGGTTCATTTACTTCTTAGTCATCATTTTGTTACGTATTATTACAAATAAGTGCACACAACGTAAATTAATCAAATTGTTAGTTATTCTAATAGGTCACAGTACAGGCAAAAAATAAAATCTACCTTTATTTGCTTATATTTCTGCTAAAATAACATGGTCCTGATTGAAGAAAGGCATTTTATTCTGTTCAAGCTTAATATATGTAATTAAGTAAAATGTCTCGCTCAAATAAAATGTCATTCACTTAAATAAATATATCCTGACGAAAAAAAAAATGTTTAATTATAGATTATATAGTGATACAAATATATGCAGATAAATGTATTCTTGATTGAAGAAAAAATTTTTTCCTGTGTAATTTTGTTCGTTACTTTTAAGTCTGCACTATCCAAATGGCAACTGTAACTTATGTCACTTATGTGTTCATTAATTTTAAAATGATGAAGTAAAATAGATGAATAAGGCCTGATAGGTCAAAATAAAGTGATCGATTTTTTATAATCATCATCAATATGTTCATATTTACTAATATTTTCGTTTAAGAAAATGATAAAATGTGTACGAGTGTTGGGCACAAAATTATATTGTTTTATCTACAGAACCTTCATAAATATTTACAAGTCACGTGACCGCGAAGCTTAGGCAACCTAACATTGCACGACTGGTACTGGTAACGAAAATTCCCTAAATCTTGGCGTGCCCAATGTTAATGATTCGTTTACAATGAACAATGACAAACTGTCACGTCTACGCTCGAGATAATGCGATCGCTGATTGTTTGAATAGAATCTCGTGAAAAATTACACCAATCACGGCCGGTGAAACAGAATGTTATGTTTTAATGTAATCTTGATCTTATTGTTTTAATTTTACCGAAATTTAAGAAGAAGATAATCGACCGGGAGATATTAGACTGAAGTTCGACGACGTCTTTCTCGTTTATGCCTCTGACAGTACTGAAAGGTAACCGAGAGACAAGTACAATAAACTAAATTTAAAAGATGGGCTGCGGAACACCTTTCTGAAAATTAAATTTTCCTTTTCAAAAAAAATAATGTGTACAGCGACGTATTTCTCACTTATGCCATGTTCATAAGTTGAAGAGAAGTATCGATTTTATCACAACATTTTTTTGGCATAAGTGTCGCAAGGGATCTAAAAATGGAAAACTTTGTAAGAAAATGTGGAAAACATCTTTATTTGTCTACCAATTTCTCATTAATGCCAATTAGAAATATGACATTATTATATTCGAAAAACTCATAAAAAACATTGTCCTACTAAGGACTAAAGAAAATAGGGCTTTGGAAAAGCTGCGGAAAAAGAAAATTAAATTTTCACATAGGTGTCCCGGCGGGCACATTGTTTTTTTCCATTATCTTACTTGTCTCTAATGTATTTTTCAGTACCCTAAAAGGCATAAACGAGAAAGACGTCGTTGAACTTCTACGAGTATCTCCCGGTCTATAATACAATATTCTAATTTACTGTTCCTCTCTCCACAGAATTTGAATGAAATATCTTTATAAGTGCTCGAGATATAGAGATATAAACAATTAGTTTTTTAGTTTTGCATAACTGTTCAAAACTACTAAAGTTAGATAAAATTTTCCTTTTACTTTTTGTTTTTTATAAAGCAATTGAATTCCTGACAGATTTTTTTTATCTAGTTGATAATAAAAATTTGACATAGTAATGTGTCTGTCCCAAAGATTTCTACATTTATTGAAAATATTCACAACAAAAAATACACGATAATGAAAAAACAAAAAATTATAACCGTTAAATAATTTTGATAGTTAATTTGATAGTTTTTAAATTAAAGGCTACGATAATGTGAAAATCTAAACGTTTGGGTACCCTTATCTTGATCATTTTTAGAAATATTTTATTCAAGTTTAGTGCAGAGAGGATTCAAATAAAAAAATAGCACAACTTTTTAAAAAGCTCTTTTTTAATTATAGAACCAGACGCCTATGCCTCAAATCAAATTTGGTTAAATCAGAACAATTGTTTGCAACTAATTATTTCATATTAATATGTAAATCCGTTCAATTTAAAATAACCCAAATATAAAGGTAGCTCCATGAAAAGTGAAACATAGAATATATATTTTGATCAAAATGTTAGTATCTAAATGATCATTTCTTATGGAGGTATATCGGGGTCTGAGGGAAGTGAGGATCGCAGGGGGGTCCTATGCTTTTCTTATGGGATTAAAACCCGCTTCCAACTTGAAAAAATTAAATTCTATTGAAAATATTTGCGATAAACATTATCTATATAGCAAAGAAATCTACTCAATATGCACATAACATACATATGGAAAATTAACAACATAAAAATATCATATTTAAGTAGTTTTAAATTATATTTAATGAACGCATAAACACTATGTAGATGTGGCAATAGCGCTAATAATCGAGTGCAGTTGTACACACTGCGAACCTACAGACCTCGGACATCGGAGATATTGCGCGTCAAATTCGGGTAAAGATGCGTACGCGTTCAAAAATGTATTGTGTGTAAACTATGTAAAATATAATAATTATATACAGCAAATATATCGTATTATCCTCGCGAAGATTTGTATCCTTTATTTAAAATCCGTAAATCATGTGAACTGGTAAAACAACGAGAAAATAATTATGTTAATTTAGTTCTAAAGCAATGAAATGACACTCGCGCCCATCTCTCGTCCAAGTCAAAGAAAATGTTGGATGCAATTTTAAAAGTTCTGTGATAGAAATTACATTATTACTCACTGTTCGTGTTTTTCATCTCTATTTTAGTAATGTTACAAAAGTTTTGCAACTATAACTAATTTTTTAGATATAAAGTTTGCTGAGAAATATTTATGTTCCTTTGTTATTTTGGACAAATGCTTTTATCTCAAGTGTTACTAATTATATTAATCAAGTAAAGAAAACTTTATGTAACCCTAAATATTGCTGGGTACGGATTACGATGTTTTTATAAACCACCAAATATATTAAAAGGATTTATCAACTGTATATTTTATTCCAATAAATATATCATAGCTTCCTAGAATTTTTTAATTAATTTAGTTTTTTAAAAACATTACAAAAAATAATCTGTTGTGGATAATTTATTGTTGATAACAATGTACATGGGATTTAGGAAAAATGTATATGTTTGAAATCAATTTCGTTTTTATCAAGTCTTTCAAATGTATTCCCTCCTTGCTGTCAGCTGATTG